AGCCGTGTCCGGCCTCTGCCGGGGCCTGGCCGCGACCCGCGCGGGTGGCAGCGGAGGCGCTTGGAAACCGCTTGTTTCTCGTTGACGTCTGAGGAGGCTGCTTGAGGAGCGGTTAAATGCTCCCCTGCAGCAGCTTCGGCGAGGGCAGCGCTGGCTGAGGCTTTGCTAGATCGAACGGATTTTAGATTTATTAAATCAGAAGCAGGTGACTTCAAATTGCCTTGGTGCAGTTCCCTCCGTGGCGCTTCGGAATTTGTACTTTGTGAGAGAAAAGGGTTGTGAGGTTTTGTGTGACAGGATTTTTTTAAGTGATTAAAATTCAGCGAGTGCTGTGAAGCTGAAAGGAACTCCCCTCAGCTGCTGCTGGCTGGTGTCAGGGGTAAGGTGTGGGACCTGTGTGCTGTGGTGAGAGCCTGGGCAGTGTTCATGCAAAAAGATGGCCCAGCAGCACCTTCTGACAGCAAACTGCTCAGGGGTCTCTCAGAAGGGTGAAATTGTTCCTTGAAGAAATTCTTGGATGGTTTTGGATGTGAAGTTGTCGAGTTCTGCTCGGTCCCTTTCCCCAAGCAGCTGATGGTGCTGCTGGGGTGAGGGTGCATCGTTCTCTCTGCTTTAATTACAAACCAGTGCTGGCTTTAAATCCCTGAGCTCATGATTGCACAGAGAGGGATGCAGCAGCTCAGCTGATCCAGCAGCCTTGGTGCTTCACCACTGGACAGGAATGCTAACAGCAGTGTTGCTCTTCTGACCATGACAGATCAACAAGCCTGAGAAGCTGGAGAGGCCAGAGAGCTGTGATAATGTCAAGGTGGTGGTTCGGTGCAGGCCCCTTAATGAAAGAGAGAAGGCTACAGGCTACAGAATGGCAGTGAGCGTGGATGAGATGAGGGGAACCATCACTGTCCACAAGACAGACTCCTCCAACGAGCCCCCCAAGACCTTCACCTTCGACACGGTGTTTGGGCCAGAGAGTAATCAGCTGGATGTCTATAATTTAACTGCCAGACCTATTATTGACTCTGTCCTAGAAGGCTACAATGGTAAGTCCTCTGTTTTTTTTAAGCCAAGGATCCCATCTCCTCCACCCTGCATGGCTGGGGTTCCTGGTG